TGTCTTTGTTGTGACTTAAAACAGTCCTTGGTGCCTGCGCAAAACGCACACACAAACTTTGTTCTTGGCATGCTGGCCACCTGTTTTCATACGCTGGTTGGCTGTATGGTGTTAAATCGTTCCGATCAGGGCTTTTTTTGTAGAAAAAGCCCAGCAGGAACTCATTAGCATAATAGGCCACACACCCCATGCCTTATATGGCTTCCCCAGACGCCTCGCAGCTGCTAGGAGCCTGAGCAAGCCAGCCCTTGGACAAACCGGGGAAGGCACGGGGAGGCATTTAAATGCCTCCCCGAACCTTCCAGTCCCCTCGGACCACCCGCCTCGGAGTCACTGGGGGGGGGGTCACTCTCCAGGCTTTTCCTCTGTAGCCACGCACACAGAGGTTTTGGCTGTAGTGGGCGTGGCCAACTCTGAAGCCAGCCGGAACACCGTTCCTGTGTGTTCCTGCCCCAAAATAGCCCTGGTTCTGATTGGTTGGGCCTCACACATCTTTCCAGCGATCTGCCTAATTCATTTACACAAGACTTGTTAGAGTTGCCAGCCTCCAGGTGGGGGCTGGAGTTCTCCTGGAGTTACCCCTGATCTCCCGAGGGACAGATCCGTTTTGCCTGGAGTGCAGACTCTATGGCAGGGTCCCCAACTTTTCTGAGCCTGCCCACCTTTGGAATTCTGATACAGTGTGGTGGGCATAAGCAGGAAATGGCCGCTGCAGGTTATCCTCAGTCACACAGCGAAGAGCCTTGTACTGTGGGCGCAGCTTCTGCCGAAGCAACATTTTAAAAAAATCCACACAGCCAGTCAGAATCCTTGCAGGAGAAAAGCCCCACTTGGCCCCGCCCACTTTCTGAAAACACTTGGCAGGCACCAGGAAAGGTGTTGGTAGGTACCACGGCACCCACAAGCACTACATTTGGAACCCCTGCTCTATGGTATACCATAGAGTCTAGGAGAAACAGCAACCTCTCTTCCGGTACTGCCCCGAGACCTCCAGCTATTTCCCAAGCCAGAGATGGCAACCCTAGAACTAGTCCTTAATGGAAGGGTAGATATTATTTTGCCTGTATTTCTTTCTTTTTTTAAAATTCACAGTTTATTAATTTATATAACGAACAGTAATACAAAATATTAATCTTATTTTCCAACAGTCTATTATATTATTCACCCCCTTTATTCATAGAAAGTGTTCTCCAGCTTATCCCCTGACTCCTATTATACCTAATGACTAAACAAGAATTACTTCCTATTCTGAAATTCTATTATCTTGTACCATCCGTTACATGTAATTCCATTTGGTTTCCTAAGTTCTTCATTCCATGCTCATATTAGTTACAATCAGGGGTCATTTCCTGCAGGAGCGCACAGGAGCAGAGCTCTGGCAGTAAAGAGCCCAGGGGGCGGGTGCATGCAACAAGCCCCACCCCCTGCTCCCAGCAGTCCTCAGTCAGAGTAAGAAACAGCCAGGTAGGCTGCAGAGCCCCCCGGCCCAAAACAGTCCAGTGGCACCTTTAAGACCAAGTTTTATTCAGGTACAAGCCCTCCCTCCTCTGCGAGCACAGATCTGCACGTGCCCCCCCCCCAATAGCCAGCAATCCAAAACAGTCCAGTGGAGCCTGAGCAGTGGGTGTCGCCTTCTGACACACTTCCGGTGATGTCAGGGGGTGTGGCGTATGAAAATGTTATGCTAATGAGCTCCTGCACCTGTTTTTCCACGAAATGACCCCTGGTTACATCACATTTATTTACGTACAGGGCTATTTTTGGTCAGGAACGCACAGGAATGGAGTTCTGGCTGGCTCCCGAGTTGGCCACGCCCAGCAGGAACTCATTAGCATAATAGGCCACACCCAACAGCAGGAACTCATTAGGATTGGCTACATTAGGGGTGTGTGGCCTAACATGCAAAGGAGTTCCTGCTACAAGAAAGGCCCTGGCGTTTTGACAACAAGCAAGGTAAACAGAATAAGAAGTAAAAGGTGGGTGTGGCTGGATGACCACACTTCTGGTAACACGGTGGTGTGGCCTAATATGCTAATGAGCTGTACTGTCGTGGGTGTGGCCTAATATGCTAATGAGTTCCCGCTGGGCTTTTTCTACCAAAAAAGCCCTGCTTACGTAACACTGGACATTCTTCAATTAACTATTTGTTATTGCATACTTCCAATTCATTCTTCATAAAGGCCAACTTTCACCTAAAAAAGAAAACCAAATGGGACTGCCTCTCATTCCTGGGGCCAAAAACTCGGCAGAAAGGGACTCAGCCTTTCCTCCTCCTGTGAGAGGGAGCACTCCCCCTCCATTTTTGCCTGTATTTCTCAGATCCTTTCTACAGTAAAGCGACCTCACAGTGTGGATGAATTGTAGCTGCCAGTGTTAAAGAGGCAGTAAAAACAATGCCACAGAGTCACTCCTCGGTTGGGTCACTGCCGATGTTCCTGCGAGTAATGTTGTTCCTTTTCCTCGTGGTTACCAGGCAGCCCTGCAGAATTTTGCCAGTTGAATGTGGACGATGAAATCCTGTCCATCAATGGCACAAAGGTCTCTCAAATGGTCCAGAGTCAGTGGGAAGGAGCCATCAGCAGTGCACTAGAAACTGGAAACCTTCTCATGGATGTTAGACGATATGGGAAGAAGGGTGAGTTCTCGTTTGGGGGCAGATTGCATTATGAGTTCCGGAGTTGACTGTTCCTTGCCTGTATACTTGCTGTGATGGGTGAGAGTTCTCTTTTTGTAGAGCCTACTGCACCACCACTGGTGGTGCCTTGCAAAAATTAATGCTTTCTATTAGTACTCTTGCTGTTATGGGTATCGTTCTGTGGCTTTTAAATTTTGTGTTTTTTGTCTTGGTCTTGGGATTTTTTTTTTAAATGCCATTGGCATGCTCAAACAGTGTAAATGTCTTGATTAGCAAGCAACTTCCCTTAAATTGGAGAGAACGTTTCCATAGAAATGCACTCCATGGGTGGTGCTTTTGGTCCCAGGGTTCGGACATAATAAATTTCCAATATAATTTTTTTCTGGCCAGGTAACAGAAGGGATCAGATGTTCCCATTGGCAAAGCTTATCTCTGAAGTCACAGGTATCCCTACAGCCCAAAAACCAGCTATTGAAAGGCCTATCTTTAATTACGTATAAGTATTTCGGTGGCTTAGACGTTAAGACTCTCAGTTGCAGACCAGAAGGTCGGTAGCTTGGCAGTTCGAGACCCTAGTGCCATGTGACGGAGTGAGCTCCTGTCTCTGGCCCCAGCTCCTGCCAACTTATCAGTTCGAAAGCAAGAAATTGCTAGTAGATAAATAGGTAGCACTTCGGTGGGAAAGTAACAGCGTTCTGTGCGCCTCAGCGTTTAGTCATGCCACCCACATGACCATGAAAACATCTTCGGACAGCACTGGCTCTTCGGAGATGAGCACCAGCTCCTAGAGTCAGATTTGACTGGCTTTCAACCAAGGGAAATCTTTACCTTTACCCATTTCAGTAGCATGTTAAAGTTCTGCTCCAAATCTGTGAAAGGGAAGTTAATATGCTTGCTAGTGTGTTGTGCCAGCTTTTGACTAATTCTTGCTTTTTTGGGGAAGGCGGTCTGCTCATAAAAGCCCTAACATTCTTAAACATTCAAATTCCAATTTACTTCTTACTTCATCATTCTTTTTTGTGGCCTTCTTTTTTTCTTCCTTTTCGTGTTTCCTTTGGATGTATTTTCATTAATTCTTTTTCTTTACAATTTCACACCTTCCTGTCTACCTTTAATTTTTTTTGAACTCCACATGCCAATCAGACTGGGGCAAAGACCAGCCTTCCCTGCCATATGAAAGGCACAAAATCCTCAATCTCACCAGTCTGGCTACCGACATTATAGGTACACCAGAAAGCAAGTGGATTGATGCGACATCTGGCGACCACTCCTCAGCCAGAAGTCCAAGTCTATCGGCACAAAAAGAGACATCCAACAGTTTCCAGAGTGAGGTATGTGTGTGTGTCTTTAACAAGGAAGGTTATTTGTTTGAATGCAAGATTGAACAGCTCTTCCTTTTCAATGCTGGAATTCAGATAAAAGGGTTTGTTTGTTTCATGGGTGTAGTCAGGGGGAGTTTTGTAGAAAAAGCCCAGCAGGAACTCATTAGCATAATAGGCCACACCCAACAGCAGGAACTCATTAGCATATTAGGCCACACCCCTGATGCAGCAGCTCATTAGCATATTAGGCCACACCCCCGTGTCACCAGAAGTGTGGTCATCCAGCCACACCCACCTTTTGCTTCTTATTCTGTTTACCTTGTTTGTTGTCAAAACCCAGGGCTTTTTTTGCAGCAGGAACTCCTTTGCATGTTAGGCCACACACCCCTAGTGTAGCCAATCTGAATGAGTTTCTGCTGTTGGGTGTGGCCTATTATGCTAATGAGTTCCTGCTGGGCGTGGCCAACTCAGGAGCCAGCCGGAACTCCGTTCCTGTGCGTTCCTGCCCAAAAATAGCCCTGGGTGTAGTAGTTGCTTAGAGATTGAAAGTTAAATGATTTTACTATTTTCGAGCTGGCGACAAACCTTTTAAAATATATAAATACACAAGTGTTGCCAACCTCCAGGTGGCAGCTGGAGATCTGGGATTGGAACTGATCTCCAGGCGACAGAGATCAGTTCACCTGAATGAAATGGCCACTTTGGAAGGTGGACCCAATGGCATTGTACCTCGCTGAAGTCCCTCCCCTCCCCAAGCCCCGCCCTCCTCAGGCTCCACCCCCAAAATCTCCAGGTCTTTCCCAACCTGTATATGGCAACACTAAAATATACCCCCATCCAATACTGCATGAACATCAGATGGCAGCTAGGAACAAAAGTTATTATGACACACCAGAATATCAGGAAAGTGTGTGCAAGGTTTAAAGTTCTATAGAATTCTTCAAAGTACTAGAGCAGGGGTGTCGAACTCATTTGTTATGAGGGCCAAATCTGACATAAATGAGACCTTGCTGGGCCGGGCCACGTGTGTCATAAAAGGTAATGCCAGGTAGCGGAGATATAAACTTTATAAAGGACACAAACACAAAGGTGGGTTTTTTTTACTTAAAATAAAAACATGCTTAAAGCATTAGCACTCTTGCAATATTTTGTTTATTTAACAGTGTCTGATAACTGACACCTCTTGCTCTGAATTATTGCATTAAAATGTCTGTGCTGTTGCAATCTTGAGTATGCTGTTCAGGTGTGTATCTGTAAGCTGCAAACCTATGATGACGCAGCAGCAGCAGAACTGGAAGAAGACAGCCAGTTCCACTGCAGGCCTGATAGAAGCCCTCCGGGGGCCTGGTTTGGCCCCCGGGGCCGCACGTTTGACACCTCTTTACTAGAGGGTTTGGTCCAAAAGAAACAAACAAAGACGGGCGAGGCTGACGGGACAGAATTGTTTCAAGGCTTGGTATCAAATACCAGAGTCTTCGGTTCTGCTTGTTCAAAATGGAAAGGAAGATATGCTGCACATTAAATTGGATTTGTTTAGATGATACTGGCTACGAAACAGGTTTTCAGGTTACAGAAACAAAGGAGGAAAAAAATACGGCATTCGCTTTTTGTGACTATGGAAGAGCAGTTAAATCTCTCTCTGGCATAGTGTTGCCAGCTCCGGATTGGGAAATACCTGGAGATTTGGGAGGTGGAGCCTAAGGAGGGCGGGGTCTGGTGAAGGTTGGGTCTTCAGTGGGGTATAATGCCGTAGAGTCCACCTTCCAAAGCGGCCATTTTCTCCAGGCGAACTGATCTGTCACCTGGAGATGGGTTGTAATTGTAGGAGATCTCCAGCCACCGCCTGGAGGCTGGCAACCCTGCTCAGGCGTTAAGTGGGTCCCTTGATAGGCAGATGCAAAAGCAAACTATGTTCCTTATATGAACAATGCCAGGGATTGATTAAAGGTACCTTGGTGTAAATGGATAAATGGCTGGCAGCTTGATGATCAAATATTTGTTGTGTTGAGGATTTCAGGCTCAAATCGCTTAGGCAAATACGCGTTGCTTTTTTGGTGAGAGGGGGTTATCCAGTTGGTGTGCCTAGGAGATGCTCCAGAGAGGAGAACAAAGCATTTCCTTCCGTTGATGTTACTGATAAATTTTTAGTTCGGTTTCAAGTCCCATTCTTGACCTGCTGGTTAGGTTAAATATCTGCTCAAGAAGAGGTGAGAATGATGTGGCCAGAGATTTCCATTGCTGAGCATAGGAGGACAGTCCTTTCTATTGTGCCACAGGAGAGATACCACAGGAAATTATTTCCCCCCCTCAAAATGGACACCTCGTCTGAGCTCAGATATCCACTGTGTCTCTACATAATTTTGCTGTTTGGGCCCTACCTTCTTCCTGCTCCAGTTTGGTGTAGTGGTTATGAGTGGCGGACTCTAATCTGGAAAACCGGGTTTGATTCCCCACCCCTCCTCATGCAGCCGCTGGCATGACCTTGGGTCAGTCACGGTTCTCTCTCAGAGCTGTTCCCTCATGAGCAGTTCTCTTAGAGCTCTCTCAGTCCCACCTACCTCAAAGGATGTCCATTGCAGGGAGAGGAAGGGAAGGAAATCGTAAGCCACTCTGAGTCTCCAAGTGAAGGGCAGGGTATAAACCCAACTCTTCTTCTTCTCCTCCTCCTCCTCCACAGTTACAACTGGGCCATTCAGTCATTTTTGATGTATCGATAAGAAAGCAAAATTTTCTCTCCTCAGAGGAAGCCACCAGATGCCCTCTGGAACACTATGGGTGTCTGAATTAAACGAGTCTCCAATTTTAATTCAAGAAAAAGGCATTGGCTTGTCTGACAGAAGTTTGAGAAGCACTGTGACAGGGGAATTCATCCTCAGGGTTTAGGAGAGAACTGATCCAATTGTGTTGGCTTCCCAGTTCTTTGCCTCCATTTGGAGATTACCTTAATGCCTTCCTGGAGTTGGGGATGGGAGTTCCATGAAAGCTCCCCCCCCCCTTTCTTGTTTTTCTCAAATGTCAACAAAGAGCAGCCAGCTATCCTTTGAACTGGTGGGTTTTTGTATCTGTGATTGACTGTGTGCTAATATTCCGAAGCATCATGTACATTTCCTTGTTGAATATTGTTCCACATCTTCCTAGTGGATGAACCATGTCCACTCCATATAATTCATAACAAGTATATACAATTAATTAAAACTCCCTAGAGGGTAAGAACAGAAATTAGTACTGCTGGGTTTCAGGGCATCAACTTTCACCTAGTCATTAATCCTACCTGAACAGGCCTACCTTCTTATTAGAACATAAATTATTTACAAAGTATAAGCAGTTCATACGAACTCTGAGAAAATTGTAATGACCAGATGTGTTTCTCTTTGAGGATTTTTTTTTTAAGATGCTGAATTAAAGCCGTGGGATATTTATGGTATATTTAACTTTCTCTTTTCAGGATATAGAAACTAAAGTCAATGGAATGCAAGGAGACACAAGTACAAGTGAGCAAAAAGGTAAAATGGTATTCATCTGGGAGTGTTTGGGCTTAATGTGAATGCTGCGTACATGGAATTGCCAAGAACACAGTATACATGACTTGGATACAGTTGAAATGTGAATTTATTGAGGAGGGGGGAAATCCCTGAATTTTTGTAAATGGGAATTGCTTGCTAGTTACAAATATGATTTTATTCAGGAAATGATGCATATGAAAAGGTCGTTAGGCAAAAGGACAGCCAGTTCATTAATATCTGCATCTCTGACAAGACTACATACATGGGTGTCCTATAAAAAGAGAAGAAAAGGAGGCCAATTGAGTTAAATTTCTCTATCAGCAACATGTTAGGGAGACGGTTAGGAAAAGAGATTCTCTTTAAGCTCCTTCCTTGAAACAGGATAAAGGGCCTTCAGGTAATATTGTTTTAATGTTGAACCTTCGTATGAGGAACTGTACTTTTGGCTTTGTGTCCTGATGTTACTATATATTTGTGTGTGTGTGTGTGTTCGTGTGTTAAAACATTTTAGCCTTTGTGAGGGAAGTCAAAGGAAGGGAAAATTTGATCTGTAACACAAAACTAGGGTGCCTTTCAGCTGAGGAGCTGCTCCCTCGCAGTTTATTTCAGTGACGTTTCTGTGGCAACGGAGCTTTGTGTGTCTATAATAACCAGTTTCTAACTCTGGCCTATGACACAGATAGGATCGGGAGTGAATCTTTCACCCTCTGAAGAAAGATCTTCATTCACGTGTCTAATGCCACGTGTAGCATTCTGTGTTGTGGAAGCTAATCTGGTTTCCACTTTCCACCTGGTCAGACCTGGATAGGAGCAAAGCTGAAGTTCTGGCCAGGCCCATTTGGGGGCCCAGCCTATTTAGCCATTATCAACCTTTTACTTGTGTTAGGTTGAACAAAATTCAGAACATTTCAATTGATTTTTTTTTTAATTCAAAAATAGGTTTTCAAAATGCCAATAGAATTAAAAACCTCTACACATCAGCAGCCTTAAATAAACGACAGAATTATTGGCTTTTCAAATATTTATAGTTTTGAACTTGTGGTGCCTTGTAATAGTCTGGGTTATGGCAGATCAAGTGCAGGGGCTCACGGGGCGGAGGCTGTGCACCTCAGTGGTAGAGTGTCTGCTTTGTATGCCAAAGGTGTCAGGTTCAGTCTCCACAGGATCTCTGTCAGGGCCAACCGTATTCTCAGGCTAGTATTCTGCCCCAGTCCTGAATGCCTGTAAGCCCCACATCAACTGCTCTGAGCTCCTTAAAGGAAAAACAGAAGTGGAATAAATAAAAATGTGGTCGATGAAAGGAAAGAGCTGCTGCATTATGATGAGCAAGAAGACATTCCCCTGATAACGTTTATTTTCATGTTGCCTTTGTATCCTTCCTCTAGTTCTGGTCCGTGTCCAGCACGTAATCCTCTACACTAGCTTTGGCTGTGTTCTAAATGTTGGATGTATAGAATAGGGGTGATTCTGCATCTAGCGTTCCCTCCACATTTTCTCAGCACTGAAAAAGGTGCTGCTCGAAACCACGTTCAGATACCTCGGGGCAACGCCATACTGACTGCAAAGTCACCCCCAGACAGCCGTAAATCTATGCAGAAGGTGCCCTGAAACCCAATGATCAAAGAAAGCGAAAGCGGCATGCGAGGCAGAGGGGAATTTCTGTACCAACGTGGGTTTCATAAAACAATGGAGGGAAAAGCCAATGCAGCATTGCAGGCACAGGATTACTGGTGCTTGAAGCACTCTGAATGCCAATG